AGCATGATCCGACAGGCAGATTCTTATTTTGTAAATATAAATGTTGTAAATATTTAAAAAAAATTCAAAATTTTCTTCAATGTTGATATTTTTGCACCAGCTCAGGGACTGTTTCAAGTGATCTAGGGTAGTGGAGAAATGGGCAAATATGGGTAGTGGTGAGGGAATGGGTAAGGGTAGGGGAAGCATCTGGTAGAGAGGTGGGCACCTCAGAGAAAATTCCTGGATCTGCCCAAGGTCAATGGCCCATGAACCTTCCTCATAAGATACTTTATTTCTCTTATATCTTATATTCTTGAAAAATGTATCATGTCTTGCAAAAAGTCACTAAGTACATTTTTGATGGAGTAAAACGTTTTTGTGAATTCAATGTTACCACACTAGTAATGACTTTAAAATTACACAAAACCTTTTATACATCAAATATAGTTTCACTAAGTACACAATATTTTAATTTAACCAAGAGAAAATTCATTTAAATACTTACAACCATATAGGGGGTGATGGGCCCTCCAAAAAATCTCAGTAGTTTATATTATGTATAAAAAATTATGACTAATAATTAATATAATAAACATACTTATTGTAAAACGTATAATACAATAGTATGTATAAAAATAAATTGATATGTTTATTGTTTTGTTTGTTTATGTAGAATATATTTGAAATTATGCTAACAAAGCAATTGAATATATTACATATTTTTACCTCTATTTAAAGGTGTTGAGGCAGTAAGATGAACTCTCAATTCTCCGATACTATGAATATGCCACTGGAAATGTGATAAAATCTTCACATAAAAATGTATGGGTGAATGAATCATAAAATCCTAGAATATGTTGCTACATCTTTGAATATAAATTTAAATTTCAATAATAAAAACACAGGACATGGTAAAATATTTGTACACCTACTTTGTCTTTAGCTTAGCCATCTAGTCGATTATTTTCTATTTCTTTAATTGATTTAAGTTTACATTTTTTATTCATTTGTGTAGATTAATTGTTATTTATTTTCATATAATTTCAAACAAAATTTATGTTATCAATTTTCGCCTTTGCTTTTCTCGAATTTTTAGGTTATTATATACCAATCAAATGCTTTTTTGTGCAGAATAAGAAAAAAATATTGATTATGATATTAAATGAGTTATAAATAGCGATGAGCTGTTCCGGACCGAACTATTCATGGAACGACTTCCACCTTTGGAATGGAACGAGACCTTAGGCGATTTTATTCTGCTGGAATGTAATCTAAAATCAAAATGACTTTAGGTTTTGATGGCTAAGTGGTCAGGAGAAGAGTCAAAAATAGTTCAGAAGTGATTTATAAAAATTAAGGAGAGCAGGTTGCCATGGAAGTGGATTAGCAGAATTGTGGAATGAACCACAATAATAATAATAATAAAAGGCTTAGCGAACCCGAAGGTTCGATGCCAACACCACCAATCGCTTATTACACACCTCCCTCCACCGTTCGCCGTCCAAACCCAGTCCCTTCAGATCGGCTTTAATGCAATCTTCCCACCTTCGCTTCGGTCTACCCCTCGGACGCTTACCATTCGGCACAGCAAATATTAACCTTTTAGAAATTCTATCGTTACTAAGCCCAACAACTTTACACGCCCATTTGATTCGCCGTGATGAAATTACCTCAATTATATTACCAGGATACAGCTCACGCAATTCGGCGTTGTGTAACCGTCTGAACTCTCCGGTTAACTCATCCTTCTTTGGTCCGAATATTCTACGCAATACTTTATTTTCAAAAACCTTAAGACGCTGTTCATCCCTTAGTGTAAGCGGCCAAGTTTCGCATCCATAAAGAACTGTAGGCAAGATAATTGTTTTATAGATTCTAGTTTTTAAGTCCCGGGACAAGAGGCGAACTAAGTAGTTTTGTCACAGAAAAATAACAAGCATTTCCTGCCTTCAGTCTAACCTTAATCTCTTCTTCAATTTCGTTTTTTCTAGTTATCGTAGAACCTAGATACCTAAATTTATCTACCTGTTCAAACATATTACCATCTATATCGATATCACCAGTAGTATCGCCATTTTTGCAGCTAACCATATATTTTTTTTATCCACGTTTATTTCGAGTCCTAGTTCTTTATCGGCTTTCATTAACGTTGTCATATTTAGTTTTATAGTTTCAACGTCTTCGCTTAACAGTACCAGATCATCAGCATAGCCCAGCACGGATGTTGTCCCGCCCAGATCCAACCCTCTCTCGGTTCGCATTACCTCCCTAATGGCATGTTCTAATGCCAAATTGAACAGGACAGGCGAAAGAGAATCCCCCTGTTTTAAACCCGAACGAACCTCAAATTTTTCGGACAAATTATTACCGATTCTAACTTTATTGAGTGTCTCCGTCAAGCACATCCTGACTAGATTTACTAGTTTTTTTGGGATCCCCTGCTCGATTAGAATATTATACAGTTTTTGGCGGTCAATAGAATCGTAAGCCTTTTTAAAATCTATATACAGCTGGTGAACAATACCGTTATACTCCAATTTTTTCTCTAATATTTGCCGTAAAGAAAATATTTGATCAATAGTCGAGCGATTCCGTCTAAATCCGCATTGGTAGTCTCCAATAATTTCCTCGGTGTATTCCGTGATTCGACTGGTTAAGATTAAAGTGAATATTTTATAACACACCGGAAGGAGTGAAATTCCTCGATAGTTATTACAATCCGTCCTCGGACCCTTTTTGTGAATCGGTATAAGAATAGATTCTTTCCATTCTTCAGGTAATTTCTCGTTCACCCAGATCTTTTTAACCAACCGATGTATTTTAGAAACTCCAGCTTCCCCGCATGCCTTAATTAGTTCAGTAGGAATATTATCGGTTCCCGCTGCTTTATATGATTTTAATTTTCCGATAGCTACTTCAACTTCCTCTTTACTTGGTCCTTCTATTAACGGTTCAGCACTCTGGTACTCAGAAGGAGGACACAGATCATAATTTCCCGTATTTAAAATATTGTCAAAGTGGTCCTTAAACTTATTCAATATGTCAACCGGATCGGTCAGAATATTGTTATTATTATCCCTAATTCCAGACTTTACGGGCCCTACATATTTACGTAATCTGTTTATACCTTTATACATGTCTCTTATGTTATTTTCGATTCTATTAGTTTCTATTTCAATTATTTTATTTTTAAGATACTCCCTTTTTTTATTTTTGAGCAATTTTGTCGTTTCGTTCTTTGAGGTTCGGAAGTATTCCAGATTATCTTCGCTAGGATTATTTAGAGCTTTTAATTTAGCGGCTTTTCTTTTTTCGCAACATGTTTAAGCAATCTTCATCAAACCACGGTCTGTTATTCTTATTTTCCTAGACACGAGTTACCGACCGCTTTAATATTATCCCTGACCCATTCGAGTTTATCGTAAAATTCACTTTTGACTTCATCGTCACTGTCTTCGGTCGGACAATGTATGTTTATTAATGCGATTTTAAACTAACGTCCCTGAAATATAGCTACCGAAATTCTATCACTAAAGAATTGTACGTCCTTCAAAGCGGATAGTAATCTACTCCTAATTAGAAACCCGGTACCCAAACAATGATTCCCGCTTCCTCCGTACCAAATAGTGTACTTTCCTTCCCTCATCGAGCTCTCCCCTGGCCAGCGAACCTCTTGCAGAGCCATGACATCCAAATTGTACCCATTTACCTCATTCGCGACCGATTTTAGCCCCCCTGCTGTGTTTAAACTCCTTACGTTCCACGTACCAATATTTAAATCCCTATATTTCAACTTGCGCCATGAATCCCCTAAAGCAGTCCCCACCCAGAGACCCGAACGGGGGACTAGTTTACCTCCGGATAATGAGCGTTTTACCTTAGGGAGATCCATGACTATTTGTGGTGTTTGGTGAACTAAAGATATGTGAGTAGGGCGTTCAATCCTACGTCACACCCTCCAGCAAGTCTGGTGGACCCCTACCTCCAGCAAGTCTGGAGGGCCCCTCTCATTGTTGGTCAGCGAGTCCATCGGACTTAGCCGGGAGGAACTTCCAAGGAATTTCCACCGACCATCCCCACATCCGCCACCCGTGGGCCGCTCCCCATACGCGGTAATGAGCCCGCGCGAGGGGAATGAACCACAACCACTTCAAAAATAAACCATAATAACTTGACTATATATAGTATATCACTTGTGAAAAGTGTGTTAACTACAATGTTTATGGATGCCACCAGAAAGCTATTTTTTCTCTTTCTTTGCATCTAATATACTATGTTATGCGGTTATTACAGAAACAAACATTTCTTTTTGACTAATGGGTTAAAACACGAAAATTGAACTTTCACAATTCCGAACTTTCAGTTGAGTTTTTCCATAAATATGATTTTTACACTTAACATGCTGCACAGGTGCCACAGATATACCGTCTTCTTAAATCAAATCAATATATATATATATGAGAGAGAATGAATAATAATTGGGAAGATTCTCTTTATGAACATATTAAAGTAAATTAAAAATTATTATATTACATATAATATTACAAATCGAGCGGATCCCAAACGCAGCAATTAGAGACAAGGTCAGATGTCAAAAGAACATCCTTCACCTGATCGGGACCAAACGGTTAAAGTGGTATGGCCACTTAATGCGGATGGATGAGAACCGCTGGCCAAAGAAAATTTATAACTATATGCCACCTGAAAGAAGGAAGCGTGGAAGGCCAAAGAAGAAATGGATAGAGGACGTGGAGGAAAGCATGGCAGCCAGAGGGCTTCGTGAAGGAGATTGGATGGACAGGGAGCAGTGGCTTTTGGGTGTTGGGGATATGACTCCTTAAGTTGTATAAAACCCAAATAAAAAAAAAAAAAATTATATTACATAATTGACTTCAATTTTCAAAATTAAAATTATGATTGAATTTAATTAGGTAAAATCCTATAAAAATGACAGTGTATAAACATTACTATATTTTTTAAATAATATACAATTCACATCTTAAACAAAAATGTTTGCATCAGGAGGTTTCTGAAGAGGATGATGAATCATAGGCTGTTGCAACTAAAGTAACTTGGGAATGAGTTTTAATACCCAACGATTCTTTCTTTAATAATGACTTCGGAGCAGCTAAAGTTGTTGGTATTTTTTTCTTGGCTTCCAGAGACTTTTCTTTGGCACCTATAATTAAAACAGTGACAAAATAATTAAAGTATAGCATCTTCCATTTTTAAATTACTATGCAAATTAAAAGACTTAAGCGAAGACAATAGGATTAGGATTAAGGTCCCTTAATTTCGCGGAAACACCTAAAGCTGTTTGTTCTTTTAAATATGTAATAATATTTCCACCCTCTGAGTTGTATGAAGCGTTTGCCAAAATCCAAGAAGATCTAAATTAAATCAGTACCTGGGGATACATAAATGGATTAAGGAATACCAATATTCTCATTCTGTATCTAAACGACCATCCCATCACCTTCAACTCCTCAGTTAAAAACCCAGGCATTTTCATTGACCAAACCCTCTCCTGGAATCACTATATTACCCACATTCCTCGACGATCAATTTATACCCTTAAAACTATTCCATCGTTTTCGCAATCTCCTACCTATAACCACACGTAGACTCCTAGTATCCTCAGTCATCTTCCCCCACCTTGACTATGGCTGTGTGGTGTATGGAGGGAGGCCTCTCATTGGAATTTGGAGACAGACTAAAAAGAAATATGAATAGTTTCATAGTATTTGTCAACGGAACTCCGAGACGTTCTCGTGTCTCCCACTACTATGCTGAGTTAGGGTGGCTCTTCCCATCCTTCAGAAGACAATATTTCCTAGGCAATTCCCTTTACCAAATAATCAATAAATATCGCCCGTCCTATGTATACAATCTCCTCCAATTCAAATCATCTATACACTCCATCTCCACAAGATCCTGTCCTTCTGAGGATCCCTTTCCACAGATCTACTTCATTTTAACACTCCTTTATTACCCATTCTACCACTTTTTGGATTCCATTCCGCTTAAAATCCATCATGCACTATCCTTATCCACATTTAAAACCCTCTTATTCCAATTCTGAATTCACCATTCAATCAGATGCTGACTAATTATTTATTATGTAACTAGGGTTTATTTATTTATTTTTTTAATACTTAATTATTTTTTATTTTTATGAATCGGAAAAGATTCCATATTACTTTAGACATAGTATTATGGTGTAGAAAGGAAAGAGAGAAGAAATTTTTTTTGTATTGTAGACATATTTTATTTTTTACATTCTTAACATTATTTTAAGATGCTATGTATTGTAGACGTATTTTAATTTTTACATTCTTAACATTATTTTAAGATGCTATGTATTGTAGACGTATTTTATTTTATACATTCTTAACATTATTTTAATTTTTATGAATTGGAAAGATTCCGTATCACTTGTGACATGGAATTGTGATGAAAGAAAAAAATAAGAAATTGTTTTTTTGTTTTTTTCAATTTACAAGATTCTATGTACGAGTATTCATCATTCAAAGCCCTTAAGTAATATATATATATATATATATATATATATATATATATATATATATATTTATATAAATAATTTATTTTCTGTAGCGTTTTTTTTCTTTTATTCACTACAATAGTTTCTCATAAAATTAATTTAATGTCCCTTTCCAATTGTATTTTTCTACTTATTGTTATTTTATTTCTCCAACGCCGCGATAGTGCAATATTGTGATTCCATTATTCATCTGTTCTCATTAATATATCATTAAGCTATACATACATACATACATATTGTAATGTCAACATTACATGGTATATAAATAGTGGCGCGAAAGTGGCAAGAAGATGAACTACAGGGAAGAAGTGGGGGAAGCAAGCTCATGTGACAGAGACTGCGACGGGCCGCCAAGAGGGAAGGTGCTAGCGGCAAAGAGAGAAGATTATGAGCCGCCAAGAGAAGATGTGACAAGCTGTCAAGAGAGAAGGTACTAGCCAGCAACTTGAGAAAATAGAAACAGCCACAAAGTTTAGACTGGGACAATCAAGGTTTTTGAATGTATAATTTCTTAATGTATGTATCTCGTTTCTTTATATGAATTTAGTAAATTATAGTTATTAAATGTTGAATGAGTGTTCAGTTGTCAGAACCCAACCTGAGATGTATATTATATGTTAAAATAAATAAGATATTCAAAAAGTAAACTCGTTGTTTGTTTTGGTTGAAAAAGAGAACGTTACAACATGGCGCCCAACGTGGGGCTTTTGAGTACGTCACAATATATATATGTATATATAAAAGACTGCGTCCTGAATATTTATCACCCATGATAAAGTAACATAATTAGATTTTTATCACTAAGATTAACATAATTGTTATCACAGAAAATAGTTCATTATAAATTTGTTTTTCATAATCCTTAACTAACAAATTAACTTTAACTAAAAAATTTACTATCAACAAATTAATTTGATTTTGATCAAATTGGGGGAGCGGGGTAGCTTAGTGGGTGAGCACTGACTTCCAGAGTTCAAGGTCCTGGGTTCGAATCCGGCTAATGACTAGTAATTTTTCATTAGCCATGGATCGACCCTGGGATCGGGAAACCCTCCTGGGGCACACCCAGCCTTTATAAAGTGGGTACTCTTAATTATAAAAAATAATTAAGGTGGAAAACCTGGCGGTTGAGCGTGATATCGGCCCCATCACCTCCCTGCACAACCGTTGGCCTTGGAACAGTACTTCCTCACATAGTACTGCACCCAAGACCCTTCCTGGGTTGTAGTGGTACAGGTTTTTTTTTTTGGTCTGTCGACTGTCAGAGGAGTCTGTGTTCTATAAAAAAAATATTTTTTTAACTATTTACATAACTAATAGATAACAAAAAAAAAATTATCTTTATAATATAAGAAGGAGTTGATCGGGGGGTGCGGTCAAATTAATACGTAGGATGTAGCACTGCGAGAGGCAGTTGAAAACCAGTGTTCCAACACAGGCAACAGTGTTTTAACTGCCTCCTGCAGTGAAACATCCTACGTATTAATTTTACCGCAACCCCTGATCAACTCCTTATATTAGATCAATGGTCAACCGTCTCTACATCATTATCTATATAATTTATTATGACAGTTTTTTGCCGTAACCATCCCTTTTCCGGGATGGTTACGGCAAATGTTTACATACAATACGTTTCCGGCTCCGGGTGATGTATTTTGATGAATGAAATATCAAACGAAAAAAATTAAATGGAGTAGTGACAAATCATGATTTATTTGCGAATTACTTAAAACAATACATTTTTTTCTTGATAAGACCAATTATTATTTGAAAATTTACAAAATGAAGAAAAGAAATCATAAAAATTGATTAGAAATTTGCAATTAAGAAACAATTTGAACCGCCCTAAGAGTGGGTTCAAATAATTTTTAAAGGAGGAACAGAGTTGAGATTCGTATTTATATTTCGAAGAACCCTCAAATACGAATTTTCATGGTAATCAAAAAATACAAATTTTTTCCTATGAATAAGGCTTTTTCCATTGATTTTTTTTTTTTTTCAAAAATCACAAAAAGTGTGATAACTTTAACGGGCCTACACCTATCCAAACAAAATTAAGCAGGAATTTAGGGCTATATAAACTACACAAAATGACACAAATCGGACCCTCTCCCCCGATTATTTTAAGACTTGATATATAAAATAAAAAAGGGTTAGGAGTTTTTAATTATTTGCACCTCATGGAGGTATTAAATCAAAAAGCTACTTATATGGATTTGAAGAGCAATTATTCGGGTTTCCAACGTCTATACACCCACTGATTTAGAAACAATCCTGAGGAGTTATGAAGGTTTTAGTATATTTCAGAGAAAAAATTATAATGAAAAGTAAACCAGTTCTGCTACCCCTTGTCAAGGGTTCAAACTGTTGTTCAAACTGCTGAACAGGATTGGATGTGACGAAGTGCCACCCATGCACCCCAATACCCTAATCCGTGAGTATCTGGACTGGTCAAATAGAAATATGGGGTCGAAATAGAGAACAGCAAACAACACAAACCAAAAAACGTCTGCCAAGTATGGTCAGTTTAGCTTCCTCACAGTTTTCATTTGCTATCCACACATATATTATTACAATAAGGCTCGAAATCGGTTTTGTACCAAATATAAGCTCCTGTCATGATCAAATACCATGAATGGGGTACCGTTGGATTCAGAATTTCACGAGGGGTTAGCGAATCGTATTCTCCACTTTTGTTTTTATTTCTAAAATAAATAAAGTCGATACAAACATTTTGCTAGGCTTCAATACTAGAATGATGGTAGGTCTGTGGATCGATGCGGGAAAAATTGGACCTTGAAGATTTTGATGCGTAAAGCAAGACCCGGATAGTTCCTCCGGAACTATCGGATCCTGCGTTTTTAAGCCCAAAAATGTACTATTTTCGAGATAACGCAAGGCATGGTGTTCGCATCCACACAACCTGACATTAATTGTAGTACTGTCATTGGATACATGTATCATTTCGTCGACTTGAGGTCTCTATGATCGAGATAGGAGGAGTTTATATTATTTATCGATGGTGTTTTTTATCGGCAAGCCATATCATCGTTAATTCTTCACCAAATATCAAGATTGAGCCACCAATTCCGAAGGCTTCCTTCTTCTTCAGGCGGGGAAAATAGTCCAATCACCCCGAAAATTCAGGCAAACAAGTTATGAAAGAAAAGAAACTTTATTTGCGAATAACTAAAAAATTACACTTTTCCCTTGGTTATTCACATGATTATACAAAACATTACTAATTGTCTACAATAGGGAAAAAAAATCATTGAAATCGATTAGAAATTTTTCCAATATTTTTTGTTTTTTATTTTATTATTTATTTTTTCGTATTTTCGATTAATATTCATTGGGAGAGTTCTATTATAGCCCATTTTATTTGAAAATAACTGTATATTTGGCATATAGCTATATTATCAGTACGACGATGAAATAATTTGTACTGACCGAAGGAGGAAAGTGGTTTCAAATATTTTTCTAAGGGAAAACAGAGTTGAATTTGTATTTCGAACCTCTATAAAGCCTCAGATACGAATTTTCATAGAAATCAAAAAAAAATTTTTTTTACACCGAATCGGAACCAAGGCTCCCTACCCCTTCGATCTCACAAAAAG